TCCTCCTGCACCCCCGGTGTTCAAGACCTGGGAGTGCTCTGACCCCACCTTTTGCGGAGGCTCCTTACTAGGCTCGGCTGGTCGCATCATTGGCCAGTGGTGACCTCGTCCAATCTCCAGCCCCCGTCACTGCCCTCCCAGTCAGTGGGGGTGGGGTGGGGTGGGAGGCCTGAAAGTTCCAATCTTCTAATCACACGGTTTGTTGCCCCGGCAACCGCCCCCCCAACCTCCAAGAGTCCCCTCATTAGCATAAACTCTGGTTGAAAGGGGCATGTTATGAATAACTCAGGAAATTCCAAGTGTTCTAGAAGCTCTGTGCCAAGAACAGGACCAAGAGCAAGTATATATTTCTCATTACAAACCACAAGACCGCATCACAAAATGGTGACTTGAGACTCTTCAGGAAGGAAACAAACAAACAAAAAACCATTCTCATCTGAATGCCTAGGAATCAGAAAGTTGAACTGTCACGTGCAGCTGAAGGGGAAGCTCTTCGGTCCCACCTGCAGCCCTCGGCGGCCTGGCCCCTCCGGTGGGAGGAGACCGGATCTCTCCCGCAAACCCCAGCAACACGCTCAGCTACTCAGCTGTCTCTGGAGCCGGCCCTGGGCAGCCCGGGAGCTGTCATGTCGCACAGCGCCCGGAATCTCTCTCCCCGGCTCAGGAAGCAAAGGGCACAATGCCGTCAGCTTCCCTGGCTGGGGTGGCATGTGAACTTTAGGGGACTCTCCGGGTAAAAACGCAAATCAACACATATTGACCACCTGCTCTGTGGTCGGCCAACCGTGGTAGGAAAGGGCGGGCTCCATTCTTCCTCCGTCCTGTCCTTCCCAGGAAGGAAGCCCCAGGGCAGCCGCGTGTCCAGTGGGCTCAAGCCCATGGCCAACAGGCTCCACGTGGCGCGGTCTTTGGGATCCTCCGCACTTTGCAGTGGGACCTCGCTGTCCTCCCCTGCAGCCCCCAGGGGCCACGACTGGCTGCCTCTTTGTTCTGAGCTGTGCCACACAATGCCACGCACGGATGGCCGCCGTGCATGTGCCTCAGCTATTTTATTGCACACACGCTACGCCGCCACAGCCCCCACTGCCACACTCGGGGTATCTGGGCGCCAGCGCTGGGCACGTGGCGATCAGAGGAGAACGAGGAAGACAATCGAGGCATTGCTGGGTTGGAGCGTGGCATGTTTCATCCGGGGCGATTTTGTGGTCGCTGCCGCAGCGTTCAGTGATGCACCAGCGTCTTCCCCGCTTCTGCCGAAACTAATGGTTGGTGCCAGGAGAGGACAAGAAGAGCCTTGAGTATTCTCAAGGGAAGTTCTCAAAGGTTGACGGGGACATTCAAAGGACCTAGAGTCTCCTTAAAGAGACTCCCATGCCCACTACTCCAGGTGCCAGAGTAGACTCTCTTACAGAGAAACCAATGAACAATACTGAGCAGGGTGGAGAGCTTGGTTTCTGGATCTGGGTTCGAATGCTGCTGCTAACTGGTTAGATGACCTTGGACATGTTAAGTTCTTTTTTTTTTTTTTTTTTTTTTTATTAAGGAAACAAGTGCTAACTTACAGAAAAATTGCAAGTAAAACAAAAATAGCTTTTTTCTCCTCGGGCCTTTTTGCGTGTTACTTGCTGACTTGATGCTACCTCTTGCCCCAGCGTCTAGCATGTATTTCCTGCAAACAAGGCCCTCCTCCCGCATGGGCTCGACACAGCCTTCAGAGTCAGGAAATTATTGAAATTTAGAAACAAATTTATTTTAAAAGGACTGTAACTCATTGGAAACTGCTGCCAGCCTGGGTGGTTGGTTGGGCCTTTTTCTTCTGCCTGGCAGGTGCTACAGTCAAGTGTGCCTGGGTTCGAACCCCGGCTCTGCCATATGCCAACTGGGTGACCAGGGACAAGTTAGCTAGCTTCTCTGTGCCTTTGTTTTAATCCCAAGAAGGGGGCGGTTTACAGTGCCTCGTTCAGGCTGGTGTAGCAGTTGGATGAGCTTCTGCCTACAAAGTGTCCGAGTAAGTGCATAATAATGTTAGTTACAGTAATATTGTTATCGCTAGGACAGTCTGGAATGTAGTTAGTAGGTACCCAGATGCCTCAGAGCAAAGAATTCCTTCTCTGAGCAGCCTCAGCTATGTCCCCTGTAGGTTACCACCTTGCTCCTCACCCAGAGACTGCAGGTAGCTGGCCCTCCCACGAGACAGCAATCTAAAGCAAGGGTGACAGACAAAGGACAGGGAAGTGTTTGTTTTCCTAACTTCTTGAATGGGGTCCAAAGAGTTGGTTTCTTAACTGACTCAGCAGCTTGGCATCGGGAGACCTCGACTGGTGCCCACAGGACAGATGACACAGCTCTGTCTCCGAGTCGGTGTAGAGTTTGGGACTGCTGTTTCATTCGCTGACTCGCTCGTTCATTTGGCTGTTAATAATGAGCGCCTGACACGTGTCAAGCACTGGTGTCAGCAATGAGATACGAGATGGAAGGTGAGGACTGAACTCTGATCTTTTCTTTGCTCCCCCAAATTCCTTTCTAAGGGCGCCTACTCAGTCACTCCTACATATGATCAAATCTCAGTAAACAGCTCTTTATGATGTGGTTTGCTTCCCAGCCTGATTTGGTAGAGCACCACCGGAAAGATAGAAGACCCTTATCTTAACTCAAGCACTCCTTTGCACTGATTCCAGGTCTTTCAGACAGAGCCTAACTTTTTTCAGTCAATTGTCTACTAAAGAATTCCCTAAACCCACCTAGGACTTATAAGCCCCCGCTTTGAGATGTGCCACCTTTTTGAGCCAAACCAATGTACGCCTTCTATGTATTGATTTATGACTTTACCTGTAATTCCTTTCTCCCAGAAATGTATAAAACCAAACTGTAACCCAGCCACAGTGAGTCTACTTGCTCAAGGCTTGTTGGGCATGGCTTGGGGGCATTGTCCTCAAATTTGGCTCAGAATAAACCTCTTTAAATTATTTTACAGAGTTTGGCTTCTTTTCCATTAACAAAGGCAATGAATTAAAAAATCAAAAATTCCACTAATAAGGGACTTGAGGAAATATTTGCACACCCCTGTTCATAGCAGCATTATTCACAATAGCCACAAGGTAGAAACAACCCAAGTGTCCATCAGCAGATGAATGGATAAACAGAATATATTAATAGTTGAGACATACAAGGGAATAGTATCCAGCCTTAAAAATGAAGGATATTCTGAGACACACCTCCACGTGAATGGACCTTGAGGGAATTTCTATGCTCAGTGAAATAAGCCAGTCACAAAAACTCAAATATTGTATGACGCTACTTATATGAGCTACCTAGAGTAGTCAAATTCATAGAAAGAGGAAGTAGAGTGGTGGCTGCCAGGGGCTGGGGGGAAGGAGGGAATGGAGAAGTATCGTTTAAAGCTTGCAGAGTTTCAGTTTGGGGAGATAAAAATGTTTTAGAGATGGATGGTGGTGATAATTGCACAACATGAATATAATGTAGAAGAACAGAGTAAGCCATCTCAAAATACGCCTCGCCTCGTTGGCTTACAGATTATTTTGAGCTGATTATTTTGAGAAATTGCAGACACAGGAGAAGCTCTGAAAACAGAGTAGAAGTTACCCTTTGTAAGGGAAATTTAGATCGAATTTAGATCTTCCTCCATTTCAAGGCTTTCTCAATACCAGGAAGAGTGTGATTCTAAATCCCTAGAGACTCTTATCCAAGGACAGGGCCAGGATCTCAGTCTGTGCAACAAGCCCTGTTTACATTTTCCTAAAATTGTTTTTTTCGTTTTGGAGACAGAGTCTCACTTTGTTGCCCAGGCTAGAGTGAGTGCCGTGGCGTCAGCCTAGCTCACAGCAACCTCAAACTCCTGGGCTCAAGCGATCCTACTACCTCAGCCTCCCGAGTAGCTGGGACTACAGGCATGCGCCACCATGCTCGGCTAATTTTTTTCTCTATATATTTTTAGTTGGTCAATTAATTTCTATTTTTAGTAGAGACGGGGTCTTGCTCAGGCTGGTTTCGAACTCCCGAACTTGAGCAATCCACCCGCCTCGGCCTCCCAGGCTCCTTTCTTTGTTTCAGTTGAAGATGGCATTTAAACCGGATTGTCTAAGACACCTCTTTGAGATGTACTCATTTCTCCTTGCATCTTCCATGTATATATGTTATCAAACTTTCATTTGTTTTTCTCTTGTTAATCTCTTTTGTTACAGAGGTCTGTCCCAAATAAGAACTATGAAGGCCAGAAAGGAAGTTATTTTTTCTTTGCCTTTGGTTCTTAATGCCACTGAACTATACACTTAAACATGGTTAAAATGTTAAATTATATGTACTTTACCATGATTTTCTACATGTAAAAAATTATGATAATAGCTTTAACTAGGGGAATCAAGCATAGAAATTAAGTTCATGAATAAATTGACATAACAGGTTTAGCTTTTGCTGTTTCTTTTCTTTTTTGCACTTCTTTTAAACAGATGTCAATGGAAAAAAAGCCAAAGTCTGCAAAATAATTTTAAAGAGATTTATTCTGAGCCAAATTTGAGGACCATGACCCGGAGCCACTGCCAAGAGGCCTTGGGCAAGTGGACTTGTTGTGGCTGGGTTATAGTTTGGTTTTTATTTATTTTAGAGACAAGGGTTATGGGTAAAGCCATTAATCAATGTGTGGGAGCATACATTGGTTTGCCCAAAAGGAGGGCCATCTCAAAGCAGGGGCTTTTAGGTTATAGGTGGGTTTAAAGATTCTTTAGATTGTAATTGGCTAAAGACATGAAGCTTTGTCTAAAGACTTGGAATGTTTAACATAAACTGTTTACCAGAGATAAGCCACCATTTGTTGCAAATTGAGGGCCTGCAGGTTTGTCTTGCATACCCTTAGGCCTGTTAATGGGTTACAAAGGAAGTCTCTAAGAAGGGAGGGGACATGATAAGGCATGTCTGACCTCCTCCTCTGGCAGCAACTTTGCCCTAGAATATTCCTTTGTCCACCAGAGGGTCTATTTAGTCAGCTGTTGGGGGGGGGGAGGTGAGCATTTTAGTTTATACAGACTACTTCAAACAAGGTACACGGATAACAAATAAGGACATGAAAGATGGCTCAGCGTCATTAGTCATTAGGAAAATGCAACTTAAAACCTGCATAAGACACTATTCACACCTCTTACGATGGCTAACATGAAAAAGGGTGACCTTACTAAGTGTTGAAAAGGATGTAGCGCAAATGGGACTTTCATACTCTACTGCTGAGCAAGTAAAAGGGTGAAACCACTTTGGAAAACAGCGTGGCAGTTTGTTAAAAAGTTAAATGCATACAGCCTTATCACCCAGACATTGCCTTCCTAGGTATTTACCCAGGAAAAATAAAAGCATGCGTTCGTACAAAGAGGAAGAAGCAACACAAATGCCCACCAACAGGTGAGTAAACAAATTGTGTTATATGCATATATGCAGAATACTATTACTCAACAATTAAAAAAAAAACACAACCAATGAACTGTTGCTACTCCATGGACAAATCTCAAAATAATTACAATGATTAAAAAAAAAACAGGTAAAAAAGAATACATGCTATATGATTACATTTAATGCAAACTAATGACTGGTGACAGAGACCCAATCAGTGGACACCTGCAAATGACAGAGAGGGAAGGGAGAAAGGAAGAAGAGATTATCAAGGGACAGGAGGAAATTGGGGGGGGGGTAATAGACAAATTCATTATCTTGATTGTGATTCTTTCACAAGTATGTACATGTGTCAAAACGTATAAAATTGTACACTTCTGTGCAGTTTATTGTATGTCAATTATACATTAATAAAGCTGCTAAAGCCAAAATTAAAGAAAATTGAAATACACACCAAAAAATGCAATGAATAAGGGCCAGGAAAATGAAAACCACTGGGCTCTGTGGGGCATGAGGTAGGGCTGTGCATGCAGGTGGCAGGGGCAGGGGCGGCTTCACAGAAGAGGTGACCAGAGGACAAGTAAGTGTTGCCAGGCAAAGAAGGCTGGGATAGGACAGTGTTTCATGTGGAAGAAGACATGTGTGTGCAGACTCTCAGGCCGGAAACCGGGGCTGAAATTCAGGGCACAGGGGCCAGTGGAGAGACGTGAGAGGTCAGTCGGGAAGCAGCCGTGAGTGCGGATTTTATCCTGAAATTAATGGAGTACGTTCGAAGTGAGCAGGTGCATTTTACAAAGCTGCTCTGGCTGCAACGTGGGAAGTTAGCTGGAGAGAAAGCAGGCTGAAATCTGGGAGTCTAGCTAGGAAGGGGTGAGGACAAACAGGTGGGCAAGTGGCCCCAGTCCCGAGCTGCCTGGATGTGGTCTCTTCTTAAGCCACCACCCTTTATCTTTTCAACACCCTGGAGAGTTAGGAAATTTGATCCCAGCTTTACAGGTGGAAAGCCAGGCTCTGAGCAGTTAAGTAACATGCCCAAGGGCACCCAGAGCCGGAGAGTGGCGGAGCAGGACTTTCCGGTCCTGTGGGTTCTGCAAGCATCTCTCCCATTTAGATAAAAGGCATCTAGGAAGACCCTCCCTTCCCCACCCCCCCATCCTGAAATTTCTCACCCACACACGATGGTTTGTTCTGTGACCGTCTTCCTTGGGAGGAGGCAGGGTACCTCGGGCGTGTGTAACAGAGGATGTAACGTCATCTGGGCAGTCAGGAAAGGAAGGCTTCCTGGAGGAAGGGACATTCCAGCTGAGCCCCGAAGAATACCCAGGAAGAGGAGGAGCTGGAAAAGGAACGAGGTGGGGACGGGTATGAGAGGAGGAAGGAGAGGGGTCTGGCGTGGCGACAAGGGCGTGTGTGGCTGCCTGGAGACAAACCATGGCAGGGCAGGCTTGGACAGCCGAGCTTCGGGCGCTGCTGGGTGGTGGCGGGAGATGCAGAGAGAGGCACAAGACTCGACACAGATGTGAGTTCCCTGTGTGACAGCTTAGAAAACAGAGGGCAAGGGAGGGAGGCCGGGAGGGTGAGATCCTGCCCGCCAGGCAGCTGCTTGTTGTGGTTGCCATGGAAACGGTAGACTGCAGACCCGGCAGTCTCTAGTCCGGCCCCTCTTATTAAAGATGATGACACTAAGGACCAGACAGGGAAAAGATTCGCTCTTTCTTCCTGGCAGCTTGGAAATCTCCCTTCCTTTTTAAATATTGTAATAAAACATCCATAATATTTACCATTTATATTTTAACCATTTTTAAGTGGACAGTGTACATTCACATTGCAACCATCTCCAGAACTCTCCCCATCATTCTAAACTAAAACTTCATACCCATTAAATAACTCCCATTCCCCTCCCCCCAGCCCCTGGCAACCTCCGTTCTACTTTCTGTCTCTGTGAATTGGACCCCTCTAGGGACCTTGTGATATTTGTTCTTTTGTGGCTGGCTTCTTTCACTTGGCAGAATGTCCTCAGAGTTCGTCCACGCTGTGGCATGTGTCAGACGCCTTTCCTTTTTAAGGCTGGGTACTGTTGCTTTGTCCGGGTAGAACACATTCTGTTTATCCATTCTTCTGTTGGTGGATGCTTGGGTTGCTTTTGGCTATTGTGAATAGTGCCGCTGTGAACACAGGTGTGCTGAAGACTCCCTTCCTAGACATCAATTGTTGGTGCTTAGGGAAGAATAAAGACTTTTGCTGGCAAGTTTTGAATACCAGGAAAGAGGAGAGAGAGAAGAACACTACGCTTCTCCCTACAGGTCAACCAGAGGTAGTCTTTGTGCCTGTGCTTTAAGGACTCATTCTAGGCAATGCTTTCCTCTGCTCTTGTTCTGAAAACCATCTGCTAAGACTGCACACGCTTCCAGCTTGAATTAGAATGACAGACGTAGCACAACAGCTTTCATCCCTGAGTTGCAGGTTTGCCTTGGGGTGCTTCTCCTGGGGAATTCTCTGGGCTCCCAGGAAAACTGCCAAAAGCCCAGCTGGTCTGTTTCTGCTCTACCATTTACTAGAATGTACGCTCCCTGATGGCAGGGACATCTATCTCTTTTGTTAACCAGAGAATTGCCAGCACCTAGATCACTACCTGGCACACAAAAAACAAAAAAAAAAAAAATTGTCAAATGAAATGAATGAGTGAATGGCTGACCGGACCCTCTGTGTGGCCTGAGACAAGTCTCCTTAACTCAGGAAGGGAAGATGCTACTGGACTAGAACCAGACCCCGGAGCTTACCCAGGCTTTGGGTCTGGCATGTGCATGCCCTTGGCCTATCATCTGCACTTCCTGTTTTCTCATCACTCACCTGCCTGGTTGACCTTATCAGGTGTCGTGTCAGAGGATCATGTGAATAAAGTGCTGTACAGATGAGTGTCATTATTGTCCCCTGCCCTGACCTCCCTTTGGGGCACCAGCCCTGCATCTTCCAGTGACCTTCCCCCTTCAGGCACCTGTCACAACTTAGAACCTCTCCTCGGGCAGCCTTCCCTCCTGCCTTCCTATTTTTCTCCTTGTATCCCTATTTTCTCAGTGTTTTGTGCTTGAAACTCGAGTCATGCCTAGCTCTTCCCTCTCCCTGGCCCTCCTTTCCTCTGCCACGACCCCTGGTCAGGAGTCCCTGCCTCCTGGGTGACCGCTGCCAAAGCCTTGGCCCCATCTCCTGCCTTTGGACCTGTCTGCCTTGTCTCATGGATGCTGCCAGAGAGATCCCCAAAGCGCCGCTCTGACCTCATCACACCCCCACTCAAAAATGACTGATGGATGAACCGACTGCCTCTCACCTCCTGGCCCGGCTTTCAGGGCCCTCTGGTTGCTGGTCGCTCTGACCTTGTGTTGCGCTTTGGCCCTGCAGAGCCTCCCTCCAGCTGTCCTCCCCTGCTCACCCCGTCTGGGTATGCACTGAACATCCTGCCTCTTTGCCTTTGCAGACACTGCTCCCTCTGGCTGGAATGCCAATCTTCTCTCCTCTCTGCTGTTGAAATCCTTCCTGTGCTTTAAAACCCAGCTCCAATGCCCCACTACTATTTCTGTGCTCACTACGTACTCCTAGCACCTTACGTTCTGCTTTGGCTCAGAAGTGTTTGTTTGCATTCCTTCCTTGCTGCCCTACTAGAATTCCTGAGGGTGGGGAGGGTATGTCTTGCTTCCAATCCCACCACAGTCCAGTCCAACCAGCAGGTGGTAGCTCCTGGTTTTGGGGGGCCTCCTTGCTCCCCTTCCCTCCTTGCCCGGGTCTTGGAGGCTGACCTTATCGCATGGCAGCCTGGGCTGTATTCTTTGCATGGCCCCCCTGTGTGCTGCCTGGGCCTCACTCGGAGGGGCGCACTCATGTTTGATGTTGATAAAAATGGGTGGGGACCCACAGCCACGGCTCTGTTGCCTCCCTCCCGGATGGGAAGCAGAGAGGAAATTGACAGAGTCCTTCTTCCTCCTGCCCTCTATGAATGGTGAACCCTGGGTCACAGCCATCCTGCGGCTTCAGCATTTCTTTGTGCTGGAGCAAGTGCAGTGGCCAGGACGGCAGAGGAAGAGGATAAAGGAGTCACTTTGCCTCGCAGAGGACTGCACTTGTTGCCTCTTGTGCCCGCGGCCAAAGGCCTTTTCAATTAGACCTGACACATTGGCTCTGGGCTGCCCTGGCTTCCTGTCACCACGGACTCTCTGTTTAACCTCTCAGCTGGATTTGGCCGCGTTGGAGATGGCAGGGAATATGGCTGGTCCTCGTGGGTGGGTTTGCACATTGCCATCCCGTCCATGTGCCCTTCTGCAGGCCTGGCAGCCTCTCTCCTTGTCTGCTTTCTCCTCGGAAGCTCGTCGGCAGGGAGCTGGACTCATCTGCTGCCTAGTGGAAACCAGACATCCCAGCACCCAGAGGAACAGACTGACTGAATTCTGCGCTTTTCTGGAATAGCTCAGATGGTTGTTATTTTATTCATTGGAATGGAGATGAATTGCTAAATGTAACAGCTAAATGTGATTTAAATTGTATATCTTTGTAAAGTTTTTCATATAAATTCACTAATTAAAAAAAAATCCTTTGCACAGACATTTGCCTTTATTTTTGTGTTTCATGAGCTGCAGGGAACTGAGAGGCAGGACGTTCCAGCTGGGGACACGATTTTCTGTTTCTGAGCAACATTAGGCATTGCCGTTAGGACATTAGACATGCGTACGACATCAGAAGGCTACAGTGGTGGGCAACTTTCAAAAGTATCCCAGAGGTCCTCTTAGGAGAGCCAGTAGGTCCCCATATAAACAGTTCTTACCTTCCAATTTGCCAACACCTTGATCCTGTTCCTGCTTCCTGATCCTGGGTCCCCACTTTGAGCTGAGACTTATGTATCAATCACACTGTTCTATTTTCAGTATTTTCTGATGATTTGACATTTGGCGCCTTGCTGATGCTGGAGAGATGCTGATGCCCCTCCCGGGGCCAGCTCATTTCTAGAGATGGCAGACACTTACCTGCAAGTGCCCTCTGTGGGCACACCAGCCAAGCCAGAGTCCACGCCCCCAACTGCCTCCCTAATGGCGGTCGGACACGCCAGCGTCTGCCCAACCACGCCAGGGCCAGGTGCCAGACAGCTTGGCACAACCCCTACGCCCCAGAGCCCCCTGAAGTTACCCAAACCAGCCAGTCCGCAGCCTGCTCACCCTGCCTCGCCTGGCCTTTCCCACGAACACAATGAACAAAATGTGGACAGCATCACAAAGAAAATCCACATTCTGAAAGTGCACGATGGCCAACATGACAAAAAGACTGCAAAAGAAAAAAATACAAAAATGGAAATTAGGCATATAGTAATTTAAGAAAGAACCCAAAACTGTTAGTAGTGATTAATTTCAAGGAAGAGAATTGAGGAGGATGAGTATGGAATTTTTACATTTAGCTGGTTGAATTTTTTATTATTGAGTATATAATTTTTGAATTGTTTAAAGTAACAAGCATAAAAAGTAACAAATGAACACATAATAAACTCTCTTCGTCCATTTAAAAAAAAAACACTAAAAAAAGTTATTTGGAAACAAAGTCACAACAACCATTGCGTAGCAAATCCAGTGGACGATGAGAAGGGCTGGGTAAATGTATAGCCTCAGATGCACCAATCAGACAATAATAAGCACAACAAAAGCGAACTAAGCATTCAGCTGAAAAAGGCATTTCAGCCTAACCCCCACTCCCAAAGTAAAGAAAGGTGCTAGTCCAAATAGAAAGTACAAACATTGAAAAGAGATAAGACTATTATTTGCAGTTACTATAATTATCTACTATAAACAACTTACAGAATCAACTGAAACACCCAGTCATCCAATAAATAGAATAAAACAATGTGATATTTTTGCTCCTTATTTAGACAAAATTTAGATTTTCCACTGTTGATAGGAATGTGAGAAATAGGCATTCATGTATATATAATGTTGGCGGGGATATATAATTTGCTCCATTTTTGTGTGGAGAATTCAGCAGAATCTATCAGAGTTTCCAACACACTTAATCTTTTGACAAATAACTGTACTTACCACTATTCTACAGCGACACTTTCACATCTGCTTGAAGAAACTTGTGCAAAGAGTTTGCTGCAGCATTGTTTGAAATCACAGAAAATTAGGAGCAATCTAAATGTTTATCAACTTGTAACAAATGATCATCTATTTATACTATGGGACATCATGCAGAATTGTGTACTGACTTAGAGACTCTCTAAGACATATTGTTAATTGAAAACATATACAAATGAAAAGCAGCTGTTTTGTCAGATACAGCTGTTGGCCATCTCAAAAGCAATTGTCAACTGCCGTCTTTGGTGCTGTTCCCTCTAGTGGTTGACGAGAGTTAAATACTTCCCTTCCTAGCTTCCACGGCGTCCAGAGGTGGCCGCCGGACACACTTGGCACATGAAACTTACAGGGAAGTCTGTTGGTAGGTTTCTGGGAAATCTTTGCTTTCCTGATAAAAGGGCTGGAGACAGCAGCCCCTTCCTCTTCTTCCTGCCCTGAACACACAGGTATGTAGCAGGTGGGCTGTGGGAGGGGGACACTCGTCTTGCAGCCATAAGATCACAACACATGAAGGAAAGGCCCTGAAAATCATCCGGGTACTGGGGCCACCAAACGTCACTGAGCTAACTCTTGGATCTACTTAAGTTCAGAATTCTTGGATTGCGAGTCAAATAAAAAACACCCATTGCTTAAGTCACTTTTAGTGAAAGCTTCTAGATGAACACAGTCCTAACCCCCTGTTAGTATAAGCACATCTATGTAAATGCAGAGAGAAAATTTGTGACCAGCCACACCAAATTGTATGTAGGGTTACAACTCAGGAATGAAATGGGACTGACTTTTCACACTATGTACTTTTTTAGCATTCTAGATTTTTTCAATAAGGAAGTTTTTAATGTAGCAATCATGTGATCTAAAAAAATGCACAAAATATAAACAAACCTCACTTTTGAAATTTTGGGATTACAGCCAAATATAAACAAAAAGAATGTCATTCATAGTTCCATCACAAAGCAATAAACACTGTCAATTTGTTCTTTTTTAAAATTAATATATTTTTATCTCTTGGAAGGTTTAGATTTATAGAAAAATTGAGCAGACAGCACAGAATAGTTCCTATATACCCCTCTCCAGCAGTTTCCCTTATTTTTAACATCTTGCTTTAGTGTGGTGCATATGTTACAGTTAATGAACAAATATTGATACATTATTAACTAAAGTCCAGTAGTTTATTATTAAAGTTCACTTTGTGTTATACAATTCTATGGGTCTTGACAATTGCATAATGTATGCGTCCACCACTGAAGTATCACTCAGAGTAATTTCACTGCCCTAAAAATCCCCTGTGCTCTGCCTGTTCATCTCTCCCTCCTGCCATGTCCCTCCAAATTCCTGGCGACCACTGATAATTTTGTCTCCACAGTTCTGCCTTTTCCAGAATGTCATATAGTTAGGTTCATACAGTTTGTAGCCTTTTCAGATTGGCTTCTTTCCATCAGTAATAAGCATTTACTTTCCTCCATATCTTTTCATAGCTTGATTTCTCATTTCTTTTTAGTGCTGAATAGTATTCATTGTCTGGATGTACCGCAGTTTAATCTATTCACCTACTCAAGGACATCTTGGTTGTTTCCAATTTTTGGTGATTTACCAATAAAGCTGCTATAAACATCTGTGTGTAGTGTTTTATATGGGCATAAGTGTTCAACTCAATTGAGTGAATACCTAGGAGCACAAATGCTGAATCATATGGTCAGACTAGGTTTAAATTCGTAAGAAACTGCCACGCTGTCTTCCGAAGTAGGCGTATCACTTTGCATTTTACATTCCTTGCCAGCGATGAACGAGAGTTCCTGTTGCTCTGTAAACATTTGGTATTGCCAGATTTGGGGATGTCAGCATTCTAGGGGTGTGTAGGGGTATCTCACTGTGGTTTCCATCTGCAATTCCCTAATAACATGGGGTGCTGCACATCTGTTCTAGGCTTATTTGCCATCTGTTGTTTTCTTTTCATAAAGTGTGTAACCCAGGTGACAGTTCAGGTCTTCTAGTCACTTGAAAGTCATATAAGACTTATTAAATCCCTTATTCCAAGCTCTGTCAAAGTGCTAATGCCTTTCCCAGATAAATTTAGACTAGATTAGAAGGAAAGGCTCATAGAAGTGAAGGAATTTATAGTGCTTAACATTCTTTACATGTGTGAAGTATTGAGTGTTTTGCAAATGCCTTCCCACCCACCATCTCACTTGGACTTGGCAATAACCCTTGGCAATAACCCTTATTTTAAAAATAAGCCCATTTTAAAAATGAGAGTGTTTATATGACTTGTCCCAGCTCACAAAACTTTGAAGTGGCAAAGCTGGGACCTATTGAAGGCTTTTCTACTCCAAGGCCAGAGCTCTTTCCAAGGCTGGAGCTCTAAGTGCCGGAAGGAGGAGATCAGCTATTATCCTAACCACCTGGGAGGTCAGTAAGTACCATTATCTCCAGCTGCTCTGAGGTCATTCATGTTTCCAAGTCCACACAGCCAGGAAGTGGTGGGAAGTCTGAGGTCTTTGCTGCTGCTTCCAGGAGCTTGATTTGGGGTGAAACTGGGGTGTGGGGGCCTCCCATCACATCCAACTTTGCAACAGTCAGGAAGGTGGGCGTTCAGAGCAGGGCGTGGGGCAAGGGGTGCTCATTGGCTACTGAGGGGATGAGAGTATTAAGCATGTTTGTTCCTTCTGATACTCTGACATCTTGGGGACTTTCTGACACTGGAGGGGCTGCCCCTCCCAGAGCTAGCCAGTTCCCAGAGGTAATACAGGACTTACCTGGGAGCAGGCCCTTCACATGCAAACCAACCAATCAATGGCCCCCATCCCACCACTTCCTTTATCAGGCTGTTACACTTTAGTCCCTCTTCCCTTGCCCTGATCTTCCAGAACCTGCTACTATGCAACTAAGGGCAGTCCTTACACCCCAGGGACCACTCAAATTATTCAAATTAACCAATCCTAAATCTGCTCACCTGCCTCTCATGTTTCTTCCTGGAAACCACAGTAAGGGCTCCTGCCCACATTGCCCTCTGCTCCCTCTGCCTTCCACCCACCCTCCCACACTGGTGCTGCCCAGTGTGACTCTGCCTGGCAGTGGGACGCCCCCTCCTCTTGGAACTGTAACAAACTCTCTTTTTCTCTTTTCTTTTCTTTTCTTTTTTTGAGACAAGGTTTTACTGTGTTGCCCTGGCATGAGTGCAGTGGCATCATCATAGCTCACTGCAACCTTCAACTCCTGGACTCAAGGGATCCTCTTGCTTCAGCCTCGGGAATAGCTGGGACTAAAGGTGCACGCCACCATGCCTGGCTAATGTTTTTTTTTTTTTTGTATAGATGGGATTTTGTTATGTTGTGCAGGCTGGTCTCAAATTCCTGGCCTCAAGCAACACTCCTGATTCAGCCTCCCAAAGAGCTGGGATCACAGGCATGAGCCACCATGCCTGGCCCCGCAGGCCTTTAGACATGCCCAAGCATAATTATTCCCTGATGATTATTTACGAGCAATTGCTGTGTGCCAGATCCTCTTCTTAGGTGCTGGGGACCCACATCAAACCAAATGGATAAAAAATCCCTGCCCTTAGGAAGCTTATATTCTGGCTGGGGCGGAGATGATACCCAAACAAGTGCATGACACGGCGTGCTGGGACCTGTACGTGCAGTGGGGAAAGTACACCAGGACCTGGGGACTGGAGCTGGGCCGCGAGAGGGCAGCTCTAAGTCACGCAGCCTTGGAAGGTCTCCCAGATGGTAAGGGACCCACTGCCCCTCTGACCCCCTCACCACATGCGCGCACACTGGCTGCCCTGGGAGCACGTGAATTAACCAATGCCTACCTCGATGGTCCAGAAGGCCCACTTACCTGCTCATGACACCTGAGCCCTTGCCCTGTTTCTAGAGTTCCTCCGCACGGCTGGGCCAGTCACCTGCTTGTGGGGTTGCAGTCTGACATGTCGGTTCTCGGTGCGCTCATGGCCGGAGTGCCGAGACGCACCCAAGTAAGGCAAGCGTGAAAATGAGGTTTACTGAGAAGGATTCAGGTTTCCATACTCCACAGATGACGACCCGGACCACTGTCAAAGCAAAGGACAGAGAGAAAAAAATAAATAAAAATAAAAAGGAGGGCCAGCTTGTTATGGTCTTGGTCCTGTTTTTTGTTTGTTTGTTTTTTTGAGACAGATCTCACTCTGTTGCCCGGGCTAGAGTGCTGCAGCGTCAATGTACCTCACAGCAACTTCCAACTCCTGGGCTCAAACGATCCTCCTGCCTCAGCCTCCCAAGTAGCTGGGACTACAGGCATGCGCCACCACGCCCAGCTAATTTTTTTTCTATATATTTTTAGTTGCCCAGCTAATTTCTTTCTATTTTTAGTAGAGATGGGGTCTCACTCTTGCTCAGGCTGGTCTCGAACTCCTGAGCTCAAACGATCCTCCCGCCTCAGCCTTACAGAGTGCTAGGATTACAGGCATGAGCCACTGTGCGGGGTGGGTCCTCTTTTATAGTCGTTGTACAGGGCCCGCCCCCCAAGGCTGACACGTCACCATGGAACCACTCTGATTGGACGCTTGGGAGCCATGGGAATCTTACTGCGCATGCGGATCTCCCGTCAGCCTCTCTGAAAGCTCATGGTGGCGGATGGACTGGAACCGGGCCCAGTTTTGCCCCCAGGAGACCGGGCATCCGTCACTGTCTACCTAACACTGCTGGTGGAGGGTGTTTGCTCTCCTCCTTCCTTCCCGTGCCCAGTGTTTCACTCCCCTACTCGTTTTTCATGGTGAGTCTCTCACAACAAGTCTTTATCCTGCGTTCTGCTCGTGGGGAACGCGCCCAAAGCCAAAGAGAGACGTGCAAGAGCTGCTGGACCTCGGGGCAGAGCATGTTCCAGGTGGAAGGAACAGCCAGTGCCGAGGCCCCGGGAATGTTCAGGAGGGCAGATCCCACAGGCCCTGTGACCCCTTCCTGAGGACTCTGCTTTCTCAGAGTGACACGGGAGCCCCGGAGCAGAGGAGTGGCAGAACTGATTTGTGTTTGAAAGGAGCTCTTGACTGCTCTGTGGGAAAGAGGGTGCAGGGGCAGAGGTGGAATTGGGGGACTATTTAGAAGGCCACTGCGATAGCGCAGGTGAGGGGATGTGTGGCTCAGACTGGTGGAAGGGAGAGAAATGGCCGGATTTTGAACACATTCTGAAGGTAGAAGTGACAGCATTTCCTGACAGATTGGGTGTGGGACATAAGAGAAAGATAGGAGACAAGGGTGACAGTCAACTAGAAAATGACACGTGATTCATGATAGCAAACAAGCTCTAAGGTTTCTGGAAATTAAAGAATACTCAATACTCAAGAGAATTGAAAGCAGGGGCTCAAACAGATATTTGTATATCCACATTCATAGCATTATTCACAAAAAAAGGCAAAAGGTGGAAGCTACCCAAATGTCCACCAATGGATGCATGAATAAACAAAATGTGCTCTATACATTAAAATGAAATATTATTCAGCCTTAAAAATGAAGGAAATACTTACACATGCTACAACATGGATATGAATCTTGAGGACATTATGCTAAGTGAAATAAGCCAGTCACAAAAAGACAAATACTGCACAATCACACTTATATGAGGTCCCTGGAGTAGTCAAGTTCATAGAGACAGAAAGTACGAGGGTGGGAGTTGCTGGGGCCTGGGGGAGGGAGGAATAGAAAATTAGTTTTTAATGGTTTTGGAGTGTCAACCTGGGAAGATACAAAGTTCTAGAGAGAGATGGTGGAAATGGTTGCACAACAATGTAGATTTACTAATGCCTCTGATCTGTACACTTAAAAATGGTTATGGCAAATTTTATGTTACATATATAACTACAATAATAAAAAATACACAAGCCCTCTATAGAGAATGATTTAAATCTCTATTGAAGAAGACAAAAGAAGATCTCAATAAGTGGAGAGACATTTCCTGTTCATGGATGGGACAACTAGACATTATAAAGATAACATTTCTTTCTGAATTCATCTGTAAATTCAATGCAATCTCAATAAAAATTCAAGATACATATTTTGAGGACCTCCACAGAATTTTTCTAAAATTTACATGGAAGAATGAATGTCTAGGAATAGCTATGTCAAGTGGGAAAAAAGAGCAAAGAAAAGAGGTCCCTACCTAACCAGATATTAAGATATACCATAAGTAATAATATAGACTAGCAGACCAAAAGAGGGAGCTCAGAGGCAGACCTGGTCTAGGTGGGGTTATATTAATATGTCTGATGGATCATATAAGATAAAGATAGCACTACCAGTCAATGAGGAAAAGATAAGAAGATGTTAGGAAAATTGGCTTAACATTTTGAGAAACAGAATTTGAAATTTCTATATTATACTTTGTTCAATTAGGTTAAAAATCTAAATGTGAAAGGCAAAACTGTAAAGCTGATAGAAGAAAATATAAGAGAATAGCTTTGTGGCCTAGTGGTAGGGAAATAGTATCTTTAAAAAAAAACCCAGAAGTACAGACTAAAAGGGAAAACAATGATGGAGTTTAGTACATCAAAGTAAAGATTTTTTTTTTTAAAGCAAAGGATAACATAAGTAGGCATTAGTAATGTGAAAGACTGGGAAAGCCATCTAAGGGCTAATATCCAGAATATATGAGCAGATCTGCAAATCAATGACAAAAAAGTAAATAGAAAAATGGGCAATGGTTATGAAGAGAATGATCACAGAAAGAGAAAAGGGAATGACTAATGAGGATTTGAAGAGATGCATAAATTTGTTAGTAATCAGAAATGAAAATTAAAACGACGACTGTCTCTTTGCAGTCATCATCAGGGCAAAGTAGGAAATGGTAATGCCCAATGTGGAAGGAATGGAGCAGGTTCACGGGCAGGCATGACACAGGGATGCCCAGCAGTCCTGGGGATATGGAAGGTGAGTGCACCTGTTGAATGGTCAGTTTTATGCATCAACTTGGCCAGGCCACAGTACCCAGATCTTTGGTTCAACATTGTTCTAGATATTGTAGCAAAGGCAGTTTTTAGATGTGAGTAATATTTCAATCAGTAGACTTGGAGTAAAGCAGATGGGTGAGCCAATCAGTTGAAGGGCTTAAGAGAAACAGACTGAGGATCTGAGGAAAAAGGATTCTGTTTCCAGATGGCCTTTGGACCCGAGATGCAACATCAGCTCTTCCCTGGGTTTCTAACTTGCCAGCTGGCTGGTCTGACATACGAATTTCTTCACGATCATGTAAGCCAATTCCTACAATAAATCTCTCTCCCTCCACATCTGCTATAGTGTGAATGTGTCCCCCAAAGTTCATGTGTTGGAAACTTAATCTCCAGTGCAACAGCGTTGAGAGGTAAAACCAAAAGGTGATTAGGCCATGGGGGTTCTGCCCTCAAGGATGGATTTAGTGTCATTATCTCAGGAATGGGTTCATTGTTTAGGGGGCAGGTTTGTTATGAAAATGATTTTGGCCTTTTCTCATTCTCGCCTTTCTCATCTTCTGTCTTCAGCCTTCTACCATGTCGTCGCACAGCAAGAAGACCCTCTCCAAGAAGACCCTTTCCAGCCTCCAGAACTGTGAGCCAAATACATTGCTATTGTTGATAAATTGCAGAGACTGTGGTATTCTATTATAGCAGCACAAAATCCTATTGGTTGTGTTTCGCTGGAGAATCCTGATTGACACACTTACGTTGCTCATACCCATCAGCCCAGCACTCTGGGAAGCCCCGGCGAGAGGATCACTTGAGCTCAGGAGTTTGAGACTAGCCTGAACAAGAGCGAAACCCCATCTCTACTAAAAATAGAAAAATTAGCCAGGCACAGTGGCATGCACCTGTAGTCCCAGCTACTCAGGAGGCTGAGGAAGGAGGGTTGCATGAGCCTAGGAATTTGAGGTTGCTGTGAGCCATGATGATGCCACTGCACTCTACCCGGGGTGACAGAGCAAGACTCTGTCTCAAAAAAAAAAAAAAAAAAAAAGAAAAAGAAAAACAATCTGAAAGATTTCTAGATATCTTGGACCATAATGAGAGAGGAGTTTTACAATTTTTTTAACTTCTTTTTTTTTTTTTTAAGAGATGGGTGACCATTGAAAAATCATTTAATTAAAATTTGGTTAAATGTTTAATTGAAATTAGAATGAATTAAAACTGGGAGACAACACATTGGGAGGTTGGGGTGAGTGGGTTGGTATTCTAAAAAGCTAAACTTTCCAAGTATAGGTCAATAGATAATATCTATAATTTTAAAGATCAAGAAATAGCAGGATAAGCATTTTATGTAAATATACATGGGTAAGTAATGATGCAGGGGGAGCCAAAAGGGGTTGAAAGAATTTGAACTTGGGAGTATTAAGGGTTAGAGCAGGAGATTGCTTTTGGGGGTGTGGGGAATTCATGGATTAGAGCACCACCGAACATGTTACATTATGTGCGTGTATTATGTCGGTAAGATTAAGGTTTAAAGGAAAACTCCACACTCAACCCCCCTCATCTTCCTTCTCTCTGCTCCTCTTCAGACCCAAATTTCTTGAAAGCATTATTTATGTGTTTTGTGTCCAATTCCTCCTACTGCACACATTTCTCCACCAGCTCCAGTCTAGCTTTCTGCTCATCCCACCGCCCCAGCAGCGCCTGGTAAATTCAACAGTGACCCGTGTCGTTAGAGGCAACACACACTTGGGCTTCCTGGGATTGGACTTCCTGGGCTGTGCTTCCCACAAAGAGAAGCTGGTTCTCGGGCTGGGACAAACCTCCCTGTGACAGCACAGACTCTGTCTCCTGAGGAACTCGGGCACAGTGGCCATTTCATGTGGCTTGTGCCGATTGTGGGGCTCCCACTTTCCCCATGAAACTGCGGGCTCTGTGAGGTTGGGCATCGTGCGTGCGTCTGCTCACCGTTTATCCTCAGTACTTAACACGCTTACAACAGGCACTCAACAAACATTTGTCGGATGAATGCGCGACTACACAAATCGCGTCCCTACAGGACTCTCATGCAGGACTGATCCGCCCGGCTGCCTTCTTGTAAGGCTGGCAAAATGAAGCGAACAGAAAACCAGCCTGAAAGCCTGAGTGACTCTAGAGCAGATGAATCCTATTAAACTCAGCTGTGGAGAATGGGCTTTGGCTTTCTGGGAAAGGATCCAGTACGAGGAAATGACATTTCTCTCAGCACACAGCGATGTCTGAAGTTCAGCTTGTATTTTACATCCTCCCGGTTTCCTTGGGGCTCAAGGAAAGCTCTCAGTATTCCAGCTGCGCAAATCTGGACACATCTGCAAGGTTTGGATTTCTGCACCCTGCCGCATGAGTGCCTGAAATCAGCCCTGGGCCTGTGCTCCCATGGGGATGAGGTTGCCAGAGATGGGGACTTTTGTTTCTCCCAGGAACACGCCACCTGTCTCATCCAGGGCAGGGCAGGTG